CCTGAGGTTTGTCACTCATTAACCTGGCAGGTGGCATTTTCCCCCGGGGAGAGGGGGAGGAATGTCCTTGCAGAAACTGTTGGTGAGGGCAGCGCTATCAACCTCACCCATGCGCAGATGAGAGGTTATCTGTGCAGACGGCTCCCAACTTGCTCAGCAATGGGAAGTGCTCTTCTCACATTTTGGGAAAAGTGCAATATCGTGCAGGTGTCTTGAGCTGCTGTGGAGCCACACAGATATGACACAGAGCTGCCTGGCCTGGGGTGCAGGTCCCTGACAAAAATCAAGGTCGCATTTGACGTGGTGGGTTCAGTGAACATCCTCTCTTCCACCCTTACCTATAGCGCCTGCCCTGGTCTGTCTCCAATGACGTCCGTCTGGTCTCAGACTCCAGCCCTAAATAGAGATGCCGTGGCTGGGGGATGCTAGAGAGGAAATGGGGAGTGGTGAGAAACATCAGAGAGGAGGAGGGGACGGGGAAGGTTGGGGAGGAACTGGAGCTGCTCCTCGGTCGCAGAGCATCGATGCAGCCCCGGCAGTCCTGCAACATTGGGGCACTGCTCTTTGGCCCCATGGTCCTGTCTCTGGGACTCCTGCTCCATGGTGAGTCTCTGTGCCTGGTTGGTCCGTGGGAGGGTGGGGAAAATACCACTGAGAGCAGCCTCGACCATCAGGTGTAAGGGCCAGCCCTCGCAGTTTCTCCAGGAAAACCAGCATGCTCATGCAGGTGATGCTGGCTTCTCTATTTTTTCTCCGGCTGGATGACAGATTTCAGAGATAATCCACATCTCGGGTACGGAAGGGGCTCTAGGGCAGCCATGGCACATGGAAAGGGTGCTGGGATGTCTGCGCTCAATGCACGAGATCAAAATTGCAGAAGTTTACCCTGCGGAGGGGTGGGGGATAGTGCAGTGGTTGAACAGCTGGGAAGGGTTGGCTAAGCTACAAGTGATCAGGGACATGCCTGTGATAGAAACCTTCCCTCTGTGCACAGCGAAGAAAGCATTAATACCAGCATTTTCAGCCCTGAAGCTCTCCAGCTCCAAGGCTGGCCCAGGCCAGATCCTTTCCCCATTGCAGGGAAGGGGCATGGGATGGTCAGAGCTGCCCTGCCAGTGCCAGGGGAGCTGTTGGTGGGAGAGTGTCTGCCAGTGGGGAGGGGAGATGTTGTTTGGCACATTGAGAAAGGCCTAACTCAGCACTAAACTGCTTTCTCTTCGCTTTCCCCAGCTCAGCAAGCTGTCAGCCAGGAGCTCTGTGAAGCCCCAGGTCAGTCTGTCTGTCTGTCTGTCCCTGTTCTGCTCAGGTCACTTTCCCCTCCCTGTGGGGAGCTTAGGGCTTCCCCACCAAACCTGTGCTCTGCAGAGCCCCTCTCTATTTAGGTCTTTTTGCACCAAGTCAACCAACACATAGGCTGGACATGTGGTCTCCTTTTCAACCCAGGCCTGCACCAGGCTCTGCCCCAATCTCTGGGATCCAGTGGTGTCAGCACTGGGCACCCAAACCCCATCTCCAAACCCCTCTGCCCATCAACACTCTCTGCTTACATTTCAGAGCAGTGGGGCAGAGGGATGAAATCTTCAGGTGGAAGAAAATACTCTTCCATGGCATCCTTACTGCCTTGCAGCAGCAGCCTCCAGCAGGGACGGGGCACAGACAGCCCCACCCCAGCATCCGTCCTCTGCTGCACGGGCAGATGTCTCCGGCTCACCCTCCACTTGTTCTGCTCCATACCCAGGTCATCTCCCAGCCCCCAGCATCTTTCTGAGCCCCACAGCAGCCCGGCTGGGTGAAACTGTGCAGCTCCAGTGCACGGTGGACACCAGCGGCCACATCAGCCGTATCATCTTCTGCCACAACGGGCAGGAGGCGAGTGCCATGAAGGGTGAAAAAAAGAGCATCTACAACCACTACGAGAGTGTGTCCGCAGCCAGTTCTGGCAACTACTCTTGTGGATATGAGATCCGAGACATCATGAACCGGGTAACCCGATCTCAGTTCAGCCCTGTGCAACATCTGCACATCCAAGGTAAGGGGAAGAAAGACCTCATCCACCTGGAAAGTGTCTGAGCCATCCCTGCCCCACTCACCCCATCCCCTACCCAGGTCCTTCTGTGGCACGGAGACACCTATTCTGACCTGAGGGTGGGCAGCCCCCATCCCCTGTCTCATCAGCCCCATATCATTTGCTCAGGTGACAAGCCTGAAGGCACCCACACTGCTGCAGGGCCCAGCGAGGAGCCGACTCTGGCAGGTAAAAGGGACCATGATCTGTGAGCTGGAGCCTTGCCCTGCTTGGGGTCCAGCCATCGTCTCCCTCCCATGCGGCCTCAGTTGTGGGGTGAAGCTGTGCTTAGGGCCCTTTTTCAGCTACAGCCTTGCTTTTGTCTTCTGGATCCCTGCAGCCCCCCTTCCCCCCCCCCACCTAAAAAACACTGCAGAGCTCCCGATGAGCATGGGGAATGCTTTGGGACTCACAAGGCTCCTGCCTTGTGAGGACCTGTGAGGACTGGGACCTGTCCTGCCCTTTCCTGAGCTTCAAACTCTTCAAATGGGGATTGGAGAAAATGAAGTGAAACTGGGGGAATAAACGTGCATTTAACGTCACCGCTGACTTGCAGCTTCTGCATCCTCTCCAGGCCAACGTTTCGTCCTCAGCCTGGGCATTTCAGTTCCTTGTATCCTGCTTCTGGCTGCACTGGGATGCCTGATAATTAGGAAAGGTCTGTTGGAGGGCACCATCCTTGCCTGGGGGACGGTGGGTGAAGGGTTGGCATGGGGAGGGCGAGTGTCTTTGGCACAGCTGGGCTTGTGCCTTCACCCCCAAATCTCCAGGAGCTGGGGCGTGAACGGCATCCCGCCATGGGGGAGGTGGGCAAAGCTGCTGCGAGAGCAGCTGAAATGGTTTGCACAGGGGCAGTGAGGAAAAGCGTTTGCTCTTGCAGATTCACTCCTGTCCTCTTTTTCAGAGGTTCCTGGCTTCTGGACTAAGAGGTAGGCGCCAGCATCAGGCAAGAGGTCAGACACGTACCAGGGGATAGGGAGAGCCAGGAGACAGGGGACGCATGAGGCCCCTCAATGAGGGAGGTTCCTGGCAATGCCAAACACTTCCTTCCTCCTGTCTCCTTCCCTTCCAGACATGGAAGGCAGGAAAATGCCTTTCCGTTAGCAATTCTGGTCCTAAAACCCCATTGCAGTGGGGACATCTGTGCTCCTGAATCTCAGCAAAGTCCTTCCAAGGCCAAGCCTGCAAGACAGTTGCTAGTTGCTGTCCGATAATCCCCCATGCTCCCTGGAGCTCCCTGCCTTGTATTTTGGGATTAGCCCTGATGTCCAAGCGGAAGACTTGCGGAAGGCTGGGGGTGGCTGAGGCACGGAGGAGGAGATGTCCCTGTGGGGCTGGATGGGGTTATATCATTGCTTCTTCCTCCCTTATAGGGGCCAGAGCAAGCAGGAGGACACTCCAGAAGACGAAGTTCAATGTAAGGAGCCTGAAACCCTGGGGGAGGCCTTGTGGGAGAGACCAAAGGAGCTATATGGAGGCATGAGGCCAGTGGGAGGTGCAGCAGGGTCGGCCAGTGGCCAGCAACCTGCTGTGCACCCTTTTGGCAATGAAGGCCAAGCACACCAGGGGCTGCCTTGGGAAGGGCAATGCCAAGAGGTTGAGGAGGGGATTATTGCCCCATATTGGGTACTCTTAAGGCCACATTCAGATACTGGGCTCCCCAGTATTAGAAAGGTGATGACATTTCTCTCCTCTCCCCAGATGCCTCCATCACTGTTGCACGAACTTCCAAGGTGAGTCTTGGATTTTAGTGGCACCAACTAAGAGAAGCTCCCAACCCCGGTCTCTGCAGGGGCCCTGGCTGGGACATTGGATGGACTCCTGCCCCATAGCATAGGTCTTGGAAAGCCTTCCCCCACCCAGGCAGCACCCACTCTTTCATGGAGGCCACCCATCACGGGGAGATGCTCATCACCAGGCCAGGCTACTGGGCAGGGTTGTTTTGGGAAGGGTCTCAGCAAACCTCCTGGGTCGAGGGGTGTTCGTGCAGCCAGTGATGCACTTGGGGGTTCCTGCTCAGCCCTGATTCCTCACCATCTTCTGTGCTTTCAGGAGTGGTTGGCAGAGCAATATTTTCTCTGTTGCATTTACAGCCAGCTTGCCCACCAGAAGATACGACATCGACGTACGCAGCCATTGCACCACGGAGGAACCAGTATCATTAAGGCATGGCAAGGTGGTATCAGGAGCACACGGGAGCTGGGATCATCGGTAGAAGGCCCTGGCTTGTCTGTGGTCCTCTGCCAGGCTCGTGCACCCAGCAACATCCCTGTGCGTCTCCCCTGAAGGAGCATTTCATCCGCACCCACTTCCTGCTCCACTTTCTTCCTTCTTGTCCTTGCCTCCATCCATGAGCAAACTCCACATCCTCTGCTCCAGTGAGAGGTTTCTCCACCAATATTTTGCATACCTGAATGAAATCCTGAGATGGGCTTAGAAATCTCACTTTTTTTTTTTTTTAGGATTTTTTTTGCAGCATCTCCTTGACCTTACTGGCATATCGGCTAGAAGCAGTGAGACATTTACATCCAAAACAGAGATGCTCACACAACCCTGTGCTATCAGGCCCAGGCTAGAGGAAGGACATCCAGTCTTGACAATGTACAGCAAAATTAGAAACTTCAGCAACACTCGGACTTATTGCATCGTGGCACTATTGTTGACTGCCCTGTAACGCAGCTCTGCAGCTTTGGGGATGCTGTTTATTTTACAGGTCCCTTTTAACAAGTCTTCATAGACAGCGTTGCCCAATGTCCATTGATCCCAGCAGGAGCTTTGAGACCCCATCCTACATGCAGTCCCCAAAACTGAGGGCTCTTCTTTTCTGCAACTGAACCACCTCCCCTTGGGACTCTATCCAGAGGATGTAAACCCTGGAAATAGCAGCTCTGCAAGGTGTTTGCAGGAGCTGCGCGCCCTTGGCAACACAACTGCTGTTATTGCTTGGTGTGTGCCAAGCCCTCGTGGTCACGGCAGCTCCAGAGGGATTGTGGGGACCGATATTGTTTGTCTCAGTCCAGCTGCAAATTGCAGAGCGCTGGATTTTCATCCTCGGCAGGTCGATTTAGTCTCTTGTCCTTGGGATTCATTTTTACCCGCTTGCTAGGAAGGGAAACACTGATCTCAGCCTGCACTTTCCCCTCTCTCCATTGCTAAACTTTCACTTTGGCCCAGGGATTTCATTTCCCTGTTTCTATGACCAGAAACTTTGCCTGTGCATGGCACAGTTGAAAATCTTCAATAAAATCTGCTTTTAATGAGGAAAACCCCATGTTGAAGCATAGGATGTTTTCCACCTCTGTGTTTTAATTACAGATGAATTCTTATTTCAGTTCTGGCAGATCAATTATACCCAAAAAG